CAGGGGGCTGGGCTGACTGTAAAAGCGGAGAAGTGCAAGGTGGGGATGGCGGAAGTGTCTTACCTGGGCCATCGGGTGGGGAGCGGCCGCCTAAAGCCGGAACCAGCCAAGGTGGAGGTGATCAGAGACTGGCCCGCTCCCCACACCAAAAAGCAGGTCCAAGCCTTTATTGGGATGGCAGGATACTACCGAAGATTTGTGCCCCACTTTAGCGCCATAGCCACCCCCATCACTGAGCTATGCAAGAAGGGGAAGCCAGACAAGGTGGTCTGGACCAAGCAGTGCCAGGTGGCTTTCCGGGCGCTGAAGGAGGCTCTGGTCAGTGGCCCAGTTCTGGCGAACCCGGACTTTGACAAGCCCTTTGTGGTGTTCACCGACGCCTCCGACACGGGACTGGGGGCGGTGTTAATGCAGGAGGATGAAAAGGGGGAGAGACACCCCATCGTGTACCTGAGCAAGAAGTTGCTACCCCGGGAGCAACACTACGCGGCCATGGAGAAGGAGTGCCTGGCCATGGTGTGGGCCCTCAAGAAACTAGAGCCCTATCTCTTCGGGCGGCACTTCACCGTCTACACCGACCACTCTCCCCTGACCTGGCTGCACCAGATGAAAGGAGCCAACGCCAAGCTCCTGAGATGGAGCCTGCTCCTGCAGGATTACGACATGGACGTGGTCCACGTGAAGGGAAGTGCCAACCTGATAGCGGATGCGCCGTCCCGGAGAGGGGGCCCCGAACTTCCCCAGGTCACTGGTCACAGTGACCCCGCTCAGTTCAGTCTCGAAGGGGGGAGAGATGTGACGATGTGACTCAGCAGGGAGGGGGGAGTGTTGACCTGGGAATGTGCCCTGGGGATGGGAGACCTGAGAGCCTGTCACCTGAGCCAGGAGGGGGAGGGGGAGGTAACACCTCTGCCCAGGAATGTGAACAGAGGCTGCAGCAGGGAACCTGCTGGGTGGGTTTAGTGGGCAGTTTGGAGGCTGGGGAGAGGAACACAGGGAACCCCAGGGCTGGGGTCTAAGCTCCCTGCTCCCCCAGAAGGACGTGATTGAGGGGTCCTGGTTGTACCCACAAGCTCTGTTGTGGACTGTGTTCCTGTTGTCCAATAAACCTTCTGTTTTACTGGCTGGCTGAGAGTCTCAGTGGATCCCAGGAAGAGGGGTGCAGGGCCTGGACTCCCCCACACTCCGCGACAGGAGGGACCTCAGGAGGTCATCTAGTCCAACCCCCTGCTCAAAGCAGGACCAACCCCAATTAAATTTGTCAAGCCAGGCCTTAAAAACCTCCACCACCTCCCTAGGTAACCCATTCCATTGCTTCACCAGCCTCCTAGTGAAATAATGTTTCCTAATATCCAACCTAAACCTCCCACACTGCAACTTGAGACCATTGCTCCTTGTTCTGTCACCTGTCACCACTGAGAACAGCCGAGCTCCATCCTCTTTGGAACCCCCCTTCAGGTAGTCGAAGGCTGCTATCAAATCCCCGCCTCATTCTTCTCTTCTGCAGACTAAATAAGCCCAGTTCCCTCAGCCTCTCCTCGTAAGTCATGTGCCCCAGCCCCCTAATCATTTTTATTGCCCTCCACTGGACTCTCCAGTTTGTCCACATCCCTTCTGTAGTGGGGGGCCCAAAACTGGACGCAGTACTCCAGGTGTGGCCTCACCAGTGCCGAATAGAGGGAAATAATCACTTCCCTCGATCTGCTGGCAATGCCCCTACTTATACAGCCCAATATGCCATTGGCCTTCTTGGCAACGAGGGCACACTGCTGCCTCATATCCAGCTTCTCGTCCACTGTAATCCCCAGGTCCTTTTCTGCAGAACTGCTGCTTAGCCAGTCAGTCCCCAGCCTGTACGGTGCATGGGATTCTTCCTTCCTAAGTGCAGGATTCTGCACTTGTCCTTGTTGAACCTCATCAGATTTCTTTTGGCCCAGTCCTCCAATTTGTCTAGGTCACTCTGGACTGTATCCCTACCCTCCAGCGTATCTACCTCTCCCCCCAGCTTAGTGTTATTTGTGAACTTGCTGAGGGTGCAATTAATCCCATCATCCAGATCATTGATAAAGATGTTGAACAAAACCGGCCTCAGGACCGACCCCTGGGGCACTCTGCTTGATACCAGCTGCCAACTAGACATTGAGCTGTTGATCACTACCTGTTGAGCCTGATAATCTAGCTTTCTATCCATCTTATAGTTCATTCATCCAATCCATACTTTTTTTAACTTGCTGGCAAGAAAACTGTGGGAGACCGTATCAAAAGCTTTACTAAAGTCAAGATATATCACATCCACTGCTTTCCCTTCATTCACAGAGCCAGTTATCTCATCATAGAAGGCAATCAAGTTGGTCAGGCATGACTTGCCCTTGGTGAATCCATTTTGACTGTTCCTGATCACCTTCCTCTCCTCCAAGTGTGTCAAAATGGATTCCTTAAGGACCTGCTCCATGATTTTGCCAGGGACTGAAGTGAGGCTGTAGTCTGTAGTTCCCCGGGTTCTCTTTCTTCCTTTTTTTAAAGATGGGCACTATATTTGTCTTTTTCCAATCGTCCGGGACCTCCCCTGATTGCCACGAATTTTCAAAGATAATGGCCAATGGCTCTGCACCAACTCCCTCGGATGCATTCGATCTGGCCCCATGGACTTGTGCACGTCCAGCTTTTCTAGTCCTTAACCTGTTCTTTCATCACTGAGGGCTGCTCACCTCCTCCCATACTGTGTTGCCCAGTGCAGCAGCCTGGGAGCTGACCTTGACTGTGACGACCGAGGCAAAAAACAGCATTGAGTACTTCAGCTTTTTCCACTGACCTTCTTGTTGCGAACATACCTGTAGAAACCCTTCTTGTTACCCTTCACATCCCTTGCTAGCTGCAACTCCAATTGTGCTTTGGCCTTCCTGATTACACCTTTGCATGTTCTAGCAATATCTTTATACTCCTCCCTAGTCATCTGTCCAAATTTTCACTTCTTGTAAGCTCCTGTTTTGTGTTTAAGCTCACCGAAGATTTCACTGTTAAGCCAAGCTGGTCTCCTGCCATATTTGCTATTCTTTCTGCACTGCGGAATGGTTTGTTCCTGCACCCTCAATAAGGCTTCTTTAAAATACAGCTGGCTCTCCTGGACTCCTTTCCCCATCATATTAGCTTCCCAGGGGATCCAGCCAATCAGTTCCCTAAGGGAGTCTAAGTCTGCTTTTCTGAAGTCCAGGGTCCGTATTTTGTTACTCTTCTTTCTTACTTTTGTGAGGATCCTGAACTCAACCATCTCATGGTCACTGCTGCCTAGGTTGCCACCCACTTTACTTCCCCTACCAATTCTTCCATGATTGTAAGCAGTAGGCCAAGAGGAGCATGGCCCCTAGTTGGTTCCCCCAGCACTTGTACCAGGAAGTTATCCCCAACACTCTCCAAAAACTTCCTGGATTGTCTGTACAGTGCTGTATTGCTCTCCCAGTAGATGTCAGGGTGATTGAAGTCCCCCATTAGAACCAGGGCCTGTGATCTGGAAACTTCAGTTAGTTGTCTGAAGAAAGCCTCGTCTATCTCATCCTTGGATGTTGGAATTATCCCAGAAACCAAGCGCCCCAAACCCAGGGAACTCCGTTACAATTTTAAATGGAAAAGAAATACAAAGATGGACATACACAGTTAAGGCCTTCAAACCCTCTTAACTCTGCCCTGGAATGGCACCAGGAGGGAAAAAACAGAACATGTCTTTAAACCTCAGTGTCTAATCTGATATGGGACGAGGCAGCAGACATGGCTGGACGGTTATTGCAAACAGTGGGGGGTTCCTGCTACAAAGGGGATTTTTCCAATCTGACATCTACAGTGCCCCCGTGAGGAGCAGTGAATGGGGTGTAGGTGGGGTGAGAGGAGGGGGAAAGAGTTCTATTTACAGGTCCATGAGAATCACTGGTCATCAATCCTTGGGAAATTAATGCAGCGCTTAATCACCCCCAACCGCCTTTGAAAGCAAACATCTTTATTTAATAGAATGAATTTATAACTAGAGCTCGGCAACATTTCTGAGAGATCATTTTCACCAAAAAATGCAGTCTGGGGTCAATGAAAGTGTTTGTAAATTCGGGTTGAATTTGGTGACTAGTTTCAGCTGAAAGAGAAATTAAAATAAAGAGTCAGAACATGGAGCTAATTTTGAAACAATGTTTTGAAACGATGTTTCATTCAGCCATTTAGCTGGATTTATTTTTTTTCAATGCCCCTTTTAAAAAAGGTATAAAAACCACAACCTGGAAAAAACCAAACAAACATTTCTGTTTCCGGTTGTCTTGAGGCATTTTCCCTGGATTTTTCACTTGGCTCATTGCCTAGTCGATGTGTCGCTCAGCTCCCTTTCTAACAGATGCTGAGATTCGGCAGAGAGTTCAACCCCCCGGACTCTTGGAAGTTATCCAGAAAAGAGGAGGGACTGCGTGTGAAGAAGGAAGCCAGAGCATCTGCCACGGCAGGGGCATGCCCAGGGGCCGAGTGAGAGAATCCCTCTCTGGAGCTGTAGAGGGAAAACGTACAGGACTAGCGCAGAGGATGTGCAAAGAACAGCCCAGGCTAGCAAGGGACGGTGGAGCCCTGTTCTTGCCCTAAGAGAGTCTGACTGCGGGGGAAGGATTCAGATTTAATAAATAAAACTAAGTTTGGTTTAAACCTTCTTAGTCTTCACCTGCATTGCAGAGCAGAAAAGCAGCCGGCAGGAAACACGGCCTGACCATCCCGAGGAAAGGGCTGGATAACGTCTCGGGGCAGGACGTCCCCGTGGGTGACGGGAGCAGGTGCTGCCTCGTGGGCTGAGCGATGGGGATGAGTGGGGACCAAACTGCAGTCGAGAGCCTCCTCAAACCAGCATCCCCGTCCGAGCTCTGGGGAGCTGGTCCGGTCCCCTAGAGAGCCCCCAGACCAGACTCTCCCCGGTGTCGCTCCGCTGGGATGTGCTTGGTCCAGGTGCCCTGTGATCTCCCTTTGATGGGTGTCAATGGCTGTCAGGCCAGGGGGCTCCCCTGGTCTGAACCTGGTGCTGTGCTGGGGCACATGAGGCCTCCTTTCCCACTGACGGGAGGTGGAGCCATTGCAGAGGTTCTGCAGGTGAGCTGCTTTTGGCCCATTGCCCCACCTGCTGCCGGGGCTGTGGGCTGCCCCTGGAAAAGAGCCCGGAGGCGTCTGCGGGGCACCTGCAGTGCCACGCAGCCAAACCAGCCCGCGCCCTCCCCGGCGGCAGGGCCTTCCCGGCATGGGGTCCAGGCAGCGGCGCTGGGCTCCCAGTAGTACACGGTGTTCAGCCAACGGGCTGAGTCCTCACCGCCCACCACGTAGACCCTTCCCCGCCAGCAGACGGCCCCAGCAGACTCGATGGCTCGGGGAAGCGCCGGGATGGCCACCTCCTGCCTCACTTTGCCATCCTCACCCAGGAAGAAGCACGCCCGGGAGGCCTGGAAGTTCCCCAGGCAGGAAGCCCCCTCTCGCTCGCCCGGGTCAAAGGTCTCTGCCGAATCCAGCTTGCCTGCTGCCTCGGCGCAGCCCCCCACGGCGTAGAGCCGCCGGCTGCAGACCAGGAAGCCGTGGGGGTCCAGGGGCCAGGACATGGAGGGGAGCTGTGCCCACTGCCCAGAGCAGGCGTCGTATTCGTGCAGGCTGGTTGAAAAGCAGCCGTCCGGGCCGCAGCCCCCGGCCACATAGAGCTTGTGGCCCAGGGCGGCGAAACCGGGGAACTGCACCGGAACCGAGCCCAACGGCGCCCCCCACCTCTCCGTACGGGGGTCAAAACAGTCCAGGGGAGAATCCAAGTCCTCGCCCGCGGCACGGTCCCTCCGCACCCGCCGCCCCACGCACACGATCACCTCCTTGTACATGCCCCGCCGGAGGCCCCCACTCTCCCGCAGCCTCCCTTCCCCAGTCAGTTCCTTCAGCCCCAGCCCAGCAGCCCCAGAGAGCTCCGCGACGTCCGCCTGCACCTCGGCCAGCTCCTTGGGGGTCAGCAGGGCCAGGCGGACGTGCCCCAGCAGCTCTGGGAGCAGTGGCAGGCGCTTGGCGGGGTCAGCCCTCACCCAGCGCCCTACAGCCCTGTAGATGGCCAGTTCGGAAGCCACCGCGAGGCCGTCTGAGGCGATGATGCCGATCAAGGTGCCGGGGTCCAGGCGAAGGAAGGCGTCGTGCTCGCAGAGGGACCGGAAGTGCAGGCTGACGTAGCGCCCGGCTGCGCGAAGCAGAGCCGGGTGCTGGTGGGCGTGAGCCAGCGCGTACAGCCGGAGGCAGGTCTCCAGGGAAATGGTCTCCACGAGGAACCTGGCCAGGAGAGCCAAGGGGACATAGGCGCTGACTCCATGGGCGGCCAGGGGCTGGACCACCCAGGGGAAAACCTAGTGGGTGCTCAGCACTCACCGGCCACCTGCCGAGCAGATGTTTGGCAGAGGGCAGGAGGAGGGGGCAGAGCAGGGGCAGGAAGAAGCAGGGCGAGAGAGGGCCCTTGGGGAAGGGGAGGAGTGGGGACGGGGCTTCGGGATGGAGCGGCGGTGGAGCACCACCCTGCTAGAAGAAAGTCGGTGTCTGGGCAAGGGGCCACCTGTCATGGGGAACCCCGGGCACAGCCCAGCTCTCGCTTGAGTTAGTATTTTCCTTAACCTGGCCAGGCCGCTCAGCAGAGCTGCAATGCAGCGAGGGCCCTTCCGTCAGCCCGGGCTCTCAGAAGCCCGCCCCGGGGTCCATCTCTCCCTACGCCAGAAACAGAATGCTCCGGGTGCAAAGTCAAGCACTTCCAAGTTAGGAAATGCCAGAATTCGGGTGGCCTGTGAAACCTCAATTCCACCTCCTTGCGCCTGAGCGTCAGGAGAGTCACTAATCGCTCCCCGGCGCAGGTGCAAACTGAAATTTGCAGTCTTAGAAGGTGCTGTCACGGAGTTCCTGGGCGATGCTCTGGAACTGCTCCCCATGAAGTCAGTCAGGACTCTGGGGTAGTCGCCTTTCTGTGCGCAGCCTGTCTTCAGGACACACAGCTCACACAGCTTCCACCTTCCTGGGTCTGACCTCGGAGCATTCAGCATCCTCTGCCTCTCCGTGCGCTTCCCACAGCAAGTCCGCTCAGGCGGTGCTCCTGGGGAAGCCAGAGGGTCCTGCACCCCAACTTCGCAGTCAGACGTGACTCTCAGCCAGCCAGTAAAACAGAAGGTTTATTAGACGACAGGAACATGGTCTAAAACAGAGCTTGCAGGTGCAGAGAACGGGACCCCTCAGCTGGGTCCATTCTGGGGGGCAGTGAGCCAGACAACCACGTCTGCACTTCACTCCATGTCCCAGCCAGCCCCAAACTGAAAACTCCCTCCAGCCCCTCCTCCTCTGGGCTTTGTTCCTTTCCCGGGCCAGGTGGTCACCTGATTCCTTTGTTCTCCAACCCTTCAGCTCTCACCTTGCAGGGGGGGAAGGGCCCAGGCCATCAGTTGCCAGGAGACAGGGTGTCGGCCATTCTCTGTGTCCAGACCCCTGCACACACCTGCCCTCTAGGGCTCTGCAATGATCAGACACCCTTACTCCACCCCCTAGATACTTAAGAACTGCCTAGGGGAAACTGAGGCACCCCCACACTATTCAGAGGAAACATTAAGAACAGTCCCACTTCGTCACATCTCTCCCCACTTCGAGATCGAACTGAGCGGGGTCACTTTAGCCGGTGACCTGGGGAAGTTCGAAGCCACCAACGTTCCCATGGATGCCCCAGCATCTCTCCCATTCCTTGGTAGGAGTTACACCAGGCCCTTCCAGTTTCACGCCCTCCCTTAGGTCAGGGGTGGTCGATAGCACTCGCAGGCCGCATGTGGGAAGGTTTATGCAGCCCATGCCCTTTGGCCACCCCAAGAATGTCTCCCCATTGACCATCACCTTCTACTCCCACTGGAGGTCCGGGGGGCCTGGCCCCAGGAAACTCCACACAGACATATAGGTTGGGGTCAGGAGTGGGAGCCTGTCCACATCCCCAACCACCTGGCTGACGGAGTCTATGGCCTTGGGACCCAGCAAGGGAGCTAGACACCGGGGCTTTTCCGCAGGGTCCCCTTGGTTCAAATCGCCAGCCTGCTCAAAGGCAGTGAGGTGGGCATCCACACCCCCCCTCCTTAACCAGGGGCAGCAATTTAGTCTCGAGGTTCCCTGCGGAACTGGCCCCCCGGGATCTATCCCCACTCACCCCGGGGAGGTCCCCTAGGCCTCTCCGCCCCACCACCGCCAGTTCATGCTGCTGCTGCTTCTGCAGCTCTTTCTCGGGCTCTCGCTGTCTCCCACGGTCCTCTTGCTCTCTCAGACTCAGCTGCAATCCCGTCCGTCTTGATCCCCCGATGGGGAACCCGATCATGAAGACCCTCGTCTGGTCGGGGACAGGAGTCTTGGCGATGCCTGGCTCCCGCTTCAGCTGCTCCCAGATCCTGCTATAGCCCCAGTGGGGTCAGGAATCTGTTCCTTAGAGCGGTCATCCTCCTCCAGCTGCATGATTAACTCTGCTTTGGTGAACTTTCCAACGCTCAACCCTCTCTTTTTGCACAGGGTTACAATGTCCTTCTTAAGGAGACTGTGACAGGCCATCACTCCGCTCCCCCCCAAGTTGTTGTGGACTCACAGGCCCGTGTGTTCTCAGCTCCCCACGGTTTCCAGGGAGAACCCCTAGTGTGCCAGCCCTTCTCGAGGTCACCACCTCTTTGCCAGGGTCGAGCTGCAGACTCCTCCGCCCCTGAGACTGCTCACTGCAGTCCCCAGGGGGACCCCATTACTGCACAGTCCTTCTCGCTGGTCACACACTCCCAGGGGTTAACCGCCCCCCCGAAACCGCTCCTCTCTGAGCCTTCAGCAGGCCTGGTCCTCAGCAATCCCCCTTCGTGTTACTGCTCCCCAGTCACTTACTGCAGGAAGCACCATCCACGGGGTGCAGTACATCCCACCGCTGCCACCAGTTGTCACGGAGTTCCTGGGCGATGCTCTGGAACTGCTCCCCATGAAGTCAGTCAGGACTCTGGGGTAGTCGCCTTTCTGTGCGCAGCCTGTCTTCAGGACACACAGCTCACACAGCTTCCACCTTCCTGGGTCTGACCTCGGAGCATTCAGCATCCTCTGCCTCTCCGTGCGCTTCCCACAGCGAGTCCGCTCAGGCGGTGCTCCTGGGGAAGCCAGAGGGTCCTGCACCCCAACTTCGCAGTCAGACGTGACTCTCAGCCAGCCAGTAAAACAGAAGGTTTATTAGACGACAGGAACATGGTCTAAAACAGAGCTTGCAGGTGCAGAGAACGGGACCCCTCAGCTGGGTCCATTCTGGGGGGCAGTGAGCCAGACAACCACGTCTGCACTTCACTCCATGTCCCAGCCAGCCCCAAACTGAAAACTCCCTCCAGCCCCTCCTCCTCTGGGCTTTGTTCCTTTCCCGGGCCAGGTGGTCACCTGATTCCTTTGTTCTCCAACCCTTCAGCTCTCACCTTGCAGGGGGGGAAGGGCCCAGGCCATCAGTTGCCAGGAGACAGGGTGTCGGCCATTCTCTGTGTCCAGACCCCTGCACACACCTGCCCTCTAGGGCTCTGCAATGATCAGACACCCTTACTCCACCCCCTAGATACTTAAGAACTGCCTAGGGGAAACTGAGGCACCCCCACACTATTCAGAGGAAACATTAAGAACAGTCCCACTTCGTCACAGGTGCCCAAATGTGGGCAGATTTTCCCAAGGCTCAGCCCTGAGCCCAGGCGAGCTCCCTGTAAAACTGCAAGTCCCCGCTCCAGGCAGGCATTAGAGCTTCCCTGTGGAATGGTTTGAAAGCTTTAAACATATCTCATCCCAAGGCAGATGGCTGGCCTGGGACATCTCAGCCCAAAGGGTTAAAGCCCGGTAAAGTTATAAACAGCTGAAAACTAGGGGCTTATAATGGAAAGGGTTGGGGGACCAAAGCTCCAGGGGGTGCTCCCATCTCTGCCTGTAGAACCAGGGCACTCTGGGGCTGTTTGGACAAGACCCTGTGCTGTGAGTCTGTGCTAGACACAGGGGCACTCATTCATTTTGACATTCCCTTTTTATCCACAGACCACAAGAGTGGCCAGACTGGGTCAGACCAATGGTCCATCTAGCTCAGTGTCCTGTCTCTGACAGTGGCCAGTGCCAGGTGCCCCAGAGGAAATGAACAGACCACGGCAATTATCGAGTGATCCATCCCCTGTCGTCCAGTCCCAGATTCTGTCAGTCAGAGGTTTAGGGACACCCAGAGCATGGGGTTGTGCCCTTGGCCATCTTGGCTAATAGCCATCAATGGCCCTATCTGTCTTGAACTTATCTCATGCTTTTTTGAGCCCAGTTATGCTTTTGGCCCTCACAACATCCCCTGGCAGTGAGTTCCACAGGATGACTGAGCGTTGGTTGCAGAATTACTTCCTTGTGTTTGTTTTAAACCTGCTGCATCTGCCCCGGCACTGCAGGATACCTCCCTCGCCCTGACTGCCTGAGCCCACTCCTAGCTGTAAGAGCAGGATGAGTCTCCATGGGGGAAGATTGTGGAATGTCCCCCACCCCTTTCCCCAGAGGCCAGCAAAGTGCTGCTGATGAGAGGGCTCCGCCGGGGGAGCTAGAAGTTGGTGGCTGGGGTTTCCCAGGTGACTGGGTCCCAGTCTGGAACCAGCGAAGGGCCTGATTCTCAGAGGGCGTGTTCCGAGCCAGGCCCCTTCGAGGTGTGTCAAGTGGGGCCCCAGAATCTTTGGGGAGTCTTGGCCCACGGTCCCGTTGGTCCCATTTCCAGCTCCCCAAGGCCCCCAGCTGTGTGGCTGCAGAGACCCTTTGTGCTGTTGTGGCAAGTTCATGGAACTGATTGCGGCCTGGCTCTGGTGTGTTTCATAGTAGCCAAGGAATACATCCAGCCCCTCGCCATAGATTCCCCCGACCCCACCCTCTGTCACCGTAGGTCCTGTGTCACCTGCCAACCGTCTCCAGGAGTGGGGGGATCTGGAGCCTGCTGGCTGTGACGAACAGCTCCTGGGCTCGCTCGGCCGTCAGCACCAGCTCCTCCGTGTACAGATAGCGCAGGATGCTCTGGAGGACAGAGGGCGACACATCCTGCAGCTGAACCTCCCCACCCCGGGACTCCGTGGAAGCCATCCGGTCCCGTAAGTAAGGGCTGACTGAGCCCAACACCAGCCTGCAGGGAGAGAGGCAAGGGGTACTCCACCAGCTCCTGGCATGGCACCATCCAGAGCCTCCGTGTGCTGGTCACCGCACATGCCGGCAGGCATGGTGTCCCCCGGAGAGCCTGCAATCCCACTGGGGCAGCCGGGGTGTGGCTGCGGGACAGGGATAAAGGGCCAGCTAGTGCGTAGTGTGACGGGTTCAAATCATCTCACAAAAATACACCAACGTCCCCTTATCTCCCCAGTCGCAGCGCCTTGATCAGTGCCGTGATCCCGATGCACTCCTGGCCCAGGCAGCACCGGGAGGGCCCTATGGAGTCATTCTGGGAGCGGCATCCCATACAGCGGTCGGGACCAGTCTCAGCTAAAGTCACTGTTGGATGGGAGACGGTCAAAAGGAAAGCCCGGGGCTGTGGAGAGCGGGGCGGCTCTCCCCTCGCCGTCACTGCCCAGCACTGTACTGCAAGGAACCAGGTTCTCTGGGGAGACGGCCAAAGCCCTGACTGGTTGTGGGCTCCACAGGCTCCAGCCAGCAGGAACCAGCTTCGCTCTCTGACCCCAGTGCAGTTTGTGGCACGGGCAGATGGGGGGAAACGCTCCATGTTTTCCCTTGTAAATGGGGCAGATCTCACCAGCAGAGAGCCAGAATTCCTGGGGCCCCACAGGGCCAGCACGGCAAGTACTTTTCAGAAGCAAAATTTTGCTTTAAAAGCTAAAGCCCCTTGTCTGCCTTGCACAGACATCACAGATCCCAGGGGTCAGAAGGAACATTTTGCCAAAGACAGAGACAATCTGCTGTGGCAGCGCTGAGTGCTTGGCACCCATCAGCTGCTGCCCTCCACCCCAGAGGTGGCTGCATTTCAGCTCCAGGTGAAACAATCCCTGCAGAACCCTTGGGCCCTCCCGTGCTGCTCTGGGCTCTCTGCACCAGGCCAGGCAGTGTCACCTTCCCAGGCAAAGAGTCCCTGCAGCCCCACAGCTGACATGGGGTGTCTGGTCCTTCTAGCAAGGGGGAGCGCAGAGCAGAAACCTATCTGTGAGAGGGGAAGCGCTGTCCTGCAGCCACCAAGGCAACGTCGCAGAGCTGCTGGGCCTGGTACAGCTCCTGGAAACCTGCAGGGATGGGGAGACAGAGCCCAGGCTCCTGTTAGACCTGGGGGGCAGGAAGCAGGGAGACAGTGCCATCAATGGGGTGGGGGCGTTGTCTCAGGGAGAGGGATGGATGGTGCTGTCACCACCCCAGAGGAGCCAGGGGTGGTTGTTCCCGTCCAAAGGGCTATGTGTATGATGAGTTTGGGAGGCCAGGCCAGGAGAGGGTCACGTGGCTCATGCTGGTCCTCTCCACAGAGCCCTCCAGACTCCCGGGCCACCAGCCCAGCTCCGGCACCAGTTCCAGGGGAGAAACAACCCCTGAAAATGCCTTTTCCCTCCCAGCAGCTCCCGGGGTGCTGGTTGCAGCTCCAGCCTCTCCCCTCCTACGAAGGAGCCCACGGGGTGCTCCTGCAATGCTCCAGAGCAGGGACCCATCCCCATTCCCATCGCCCTGGACAGCAGCCGACCTACCCTGCCGCATGCAGCTCCCCAGGGACACAGGTGTCGCTCTGGGGTCAGCCTCGGGCCCAGCCATCGGGAATCCAGGATCCCAGCCACGGAACCAGGCTTCAGAGTTTCCAGGAACGAGATCAGCCTCAGGGGGACCCTCCGAATTGGGGCCAATCCTACAGGAGAGTCCAGTCACCCTGCCTGGCCCCAGGACAGACAGCTCCTTTGACTCCCCCCTGAGGGCAGGGGAACATGGCAGCAGGTGCCCTCAATCTCTCCCCTCCTTCCTCGGTCCCATCAACATGCTCCCTGCGCCCGCCCAGGGGCTCAGCCCCCGCCTCTCCCCAGGGATCCTGCAGCGTAACGGGCAGCTCCTTTGATTCAGGACCGGACGTCAACTCGCAGAGCAACCAGCCTGGGCCTGGGCCTTGCTCAGGTCAATCCCCGGCTACACAGCACTGTCGCCCAGTAGCCGTCCAGACCCCGCTCCCTCACTCAGGTGGCCGAGCAGAGTTAGGCGCTCTGGGTTTGGCCCCGGGGCACTGGCGTCTGTGCCCACATCGCCCCTCGGGGCCAATCGAGTGATTGATTCTGGAGGTTGGGGTGAATTTGCCGGGCACCCGCCGCCTGTTCCCTTTGCACCCACGCTTGCGCCATCCCTGCTCGCTGGCACGAGGGCGTTGGGAGCCCGGGCTGAATTCGCTTTCCGACGCTCCTCCCCCATCCTGCGGCAGGGACATTCCCAAAGCTGGTGACCCTGCACCCTGTCTGGACCCCTGCGTCAGGAATGGGGGTGACGGGTGCTAGGCCTGACACCCCCCCTAACCCCAGCCCTCACCCAGCCCCTGCAGTCGCCTGTTTCTGCTGGGCCCCTGCACCACCTCCCTCTAGTGCAGGAGGGGACGTAACTGCCCGTCGCAGGCAGGTTCCAACTGCCCCCAATGGAGCCCCCAGCCTCACGCTGCCTGGGTAGCTCTTAAAGTGACAGGGCCTCCCCCCGACCCCCCACTGAGCTCACCAGGCACTGCCCGACCATCACAAGAGATGTCCCTGCACCATACAGCCTGGACAGACACGGCAGAGAGAAGCGGGGAGCATGGTCACCCCCTTTCCTCAGAGCCCTCAGTGAAAGGGATTGGGGGCCCTGAGGAGGGGATTGCTGCAGGGTGGGGTGGCCCCAGGGCTCAGGCCCCCACAACTCTATGCACCTGCTGCTCCCCCCAGGGGAGCTTTTAATTCATGTTATCCCCCAGACATGGGTCCATGGCCACATGCCAGCCACTGGGTTGAAGCGGTCGTGGGGGGGCGGCCCAGCAGATGCCCTGCCCCCGAGGAGGAGGAGAGCAAGGAGGGTGTGGCAGAGGGGGAGAAAGAGGGGAGATGTCTCCCTTACTCTGCCCAGTGCAGGGGCGTGAGGGGAGCTGACCCCCCACCCATAGCAGGCCCAGCTGGGGGATGGGGAGGAAGGGAGCTGACCCCCACCCATAGCAGGCCTAAATGATATCAAGTTAGTTTGACAGGCTCTATTTACCATAAACCCCTGCTGATTGGCATTGATTATATCACCCTCCTTTAGTTCTTGATTAACCAAGTCCTGCATCAGCTGCTCCATTATCTTGCTCGGGATCAATGCCAGGCTGTGTCAGGGTTCCCTCCCCATTCTGAACTCTGGGGTACAGATGTGGGGACCCGCATGAAAGACCTCCTAAGCTTAATTCTATCAGCTTAGGTTAAAAACTTCCCCAAGGCACAAATTCTTCCTTGTCCTTGGATGGTATCGCTGTCACCACCAAGTGAGTTAGACAAAAATTCAGGAAAAGGACCACTTGGAATTCCTGTTTCCCCAAAATATCCTCCCAAGCTCCTTCACCCCCTTTCCTGGGGAGCCTTGAGAATAATATACCAACCAAATACGTAAACAAGGTGCGCACCGACCAGACCCTTGGGTTTTTAGGACACTAAAAACTAATCAGATTCTTAAAAACAGAACTTTATTATAAAGAAAAAAGTAAAAGAAGCACCTCTGTAAAATCAGGATGGAAGATAATTTTACAGGGTAATCAGATTTAAAACACAGAGGACTCCCCTCTAGGCAAAACTTTAAAGTTACAAAAAACAGGAATAAATCTCCCTCTTAGCATAGGAAAAATTCACATGCTGAAACAAAAGATAATCTAACGCCTTTCCTTGTTATTACTTACAATTTGTAATCTTAGATGCTTATTTCAGGTAGGATTTTAGGAGATGTGTTTTTCCTGCCCTGGTCTCTTTTTGTCCCTGAGAGAGCAACAAAAGACCACACAAACAAAGCCTCCCCCCACAGATTTGAAAGGATCTTCTTCCCTTATTGGTCCTTTTGGTCAGGTGCCAGACAGGTTATTTGAACTTCTTAACCCCTTACAGGTAAAGGAGGGATTTTATGCTACCCTTAGCTATATGTTTATGACAGGCTGACAGGCCTATAACTACGCAGGTCACCCCATCTGCCCTTTCTAAATATTGGCACAAGATCCACTTTCTTCCAATCTCCTGGAACTTCCCAGTGCTCCAAGACTCACTGCAAATCCACATTACTGGTCCAGGGAGCTCCTCAGCCAGTTCTTTTAAACCTCTTGAATGTAAGTTATCTGGACCTTTTGATTTAAAAATGCCTAGTTCGAGTAGCTGCTGTTTAACACCCTCCAGAGATACGAGTGGAATGATGAGACTGTATCATCTGTTCCCCCCCAATACAGAACAGAAACATTGATTGAACATGGGGTCTGCCTTTTCCGCATTATTATTGATATTTCTACCAGGTTCCCTCAGTATTCCCCACCTCTCTCCCCGGTCTCACCATCTCACTCACCACTCCCTGCTCCCCTCCCCCTGAGTGGCTCAGTCCAGGAGTTGCAGCCACCTGGGCTAAAAACTCACTTTGTTTTACTAAACAAGAGCCAAGAATCCCAAGCCTGCGTGCGCTGCAGGTACCACATAATTACAAAGCTGTTTGCTTCGTCAATATCTTGGTACAAAACTTCAAAGTGCAGTTCTGATTTTAGAAGTTTATTGGCAGGAGACACCTGTTGCACCATCTGTGTGGGAATTAAATATTATAAATAAAACCCTGCCTTCTAGGTTGGCTTTTTTTAGGTCCACAGCATCACCAGAACCTTGAACAGCGCTGCATGATAATTATAGAACAAATATGGTTTCAACTCCATCCTTAATAGCATGTTTTAATGAGAAGGTTAAGAGGTAACTTAAGTACGTGGGGAGAAAAATTCTGACAGTCGAAGACTCTTTAATCTGCAAGACAAAGATATAATGAGATCCAATGGCTGGAAGCAAAAGCAAAACAATTCAGATTAGGAATAAAGGCCTTTTTTAAAGCGAGGGTAATTACAGAACAACTTCCCAAGGGGTGTAATTGTCCATCACTTGTAATGT